GTGTGGCCTCATGAAAGGGTTATTTCACTGAAAGTGAAGAAGGTAGAGAGAGAGAGACAGAGAGTCACATGCTTTCTGATTGTTGCCTGGCAAACAGTAACGACTGCTAACAGATGACAGTCCCATCAGGATTTCACAGACCCTTTCTCTCCAAAATTGTGGTGATATTGCAGGAAACTTTAGATGAACGTGGTAACATGTTCCTGGAGGCAGACGTGAAAGCACTGTAGGCCTGTCATATTTCTTTGAATTTAAAACCCCTGCACATTAGGATTGTTGGTGTGTCGAGCGGCGAGAGACATGATGATGTAACTGACGCGGTGTCTCAGTGGTGCTGGGTAGTGTTGGTAATGTGGAGAATGGCATGAAAAGGCTCTTCCTGCTGACGAACCCTCTCAGAAATCCTGCAACGACACTCTTGACCAAACCTGCACAACGGTCAGAGCTGAGCGTGTGTGTGTGTGTGTGTGTGTGTGTGTTTTATCAGCTGAAACACTGTAAACAGAAAGCACTCGCTCAGATCAAGAGCGTCTGGTGTTTTTGACCAACAGTATGTAGATGTAGTGAGTGCTATTTGTAGTTCATTACACGTCTGTTGAAGTGTGTTTTCTCAGGTCGCTGATGCACAAACACACATTTATGCACTATTGTTACCTCATTTTCCTTGCATGCACATGAAGGACATTTATAGGGCCCTCTGAAATCCGTCTTATTTTTTCCAAATTCTGTTTTTTCTATTTTAATTTTTGGGAACTCGTTCACCCTTGACTGTTATTTTAGTCGTAAAAATAGTGTGCTTTTAAAGTGAATGATTAATACCAAATAAAGATGAGAAGATTCTGAATCCTGTGAGGTGTTTTGATTGATACCCTGGGGCGAGCGAGCACAATCACCTAATCAGCACATTAGTCAAAACTATTCCTAATAAAATCATTTGAGCAAAAAAAAAAAAAGTTTACACTTACTTTTTGTTTTTTTTTTACGCTTAATTCTTAATTTTTCATGTTTTTTTGTTCTACTGCGTATGTTTTTTGTGATACCGTGTAATCTGCAAATATATTTTCATTTAAGAACAATTGTTTCAAAAGTCAATGCACTTAATAAAGTGAAAGTCAATAAAAGATGCGATGCTTGATTTGGTTTACATTGCTTTTTGCGCTCACTTGCGTCCTCTTGTGGGCGTAGGAGACAATACAGCACTTTTTTTTAAAAAAAATTTCCTTTAGTATTTGAATATAATTAGAATTTTGTTAATATTTCAGAAAGAAACTGAGGAAACTGAGGTGAAACTCAGTTTCACCCACACTGGGTGAAAATATGACCCACACGCCTACTGAACTCATTTATTTGGCAGACACTTTCATCTAAAGCAACTTACACTGTGCTTTAAGGGATAATCCTTGCACAACCTGCAACAATGTTAATAATTTTAGCAAAAAAAAAAGAGGGATCGTGAAAACTGCACATAATTTTCTGAATAAGCTAACATATTTATACATATAGATCACAAGACAAAATAATAACTGACCTGAAAGTTTACACACCCTTGAATCTGTTGTTCCGACTGTTTCCATGTTTCGTGATGGTTGTTCGCGAGTCCCTCGTGTGTCCTGAGCAGATCAACGGTCTGCTGTTCATCCGGCTCCTGGACATTCATACGTTTCCCAGCGTTTATTTCATCTTCTCACACTGAAGACAGTTGAGGTGCTCAAACACACTATTACAGTAGCTGGAACATCCACTGATGCTCAAGAATGCATTAAGGGCTGTGTGTATTAAACTCGTCTTGCATGTCACATGAACAAAACAGACAATTCAAGCATTATTCACAGTTATTTCTATAGCAATTAATTGTTGGCCATGGTCATGGTCTGTTTTTCTTCTATTTTATCTTCCTCCTTTTGCTAAGCATGCAAGTAATTTGTTGTGCAGTTTGCACTATTGACCGCGATTAGGACCAGCCCATTAACTGACTAACATCCTCTGTTTTCAGACTTTAATTAGGGAAGATCCTCAGTGACTCTCTGTCATGGTCTGAAGGTGATGAGGCCTGTGCATGGACAAATGTCTCACCCAAAGCCAAGCATGTTAATGAGCTTGCTGGGGAATACAATGTGTCATAAGCCTGAAGTGAAGTAAAAACCCGTAATGATAATGTTAGATAGATTCACACTGGTTCCCCAGAGCCACCCATCAATGTCACGGTCCTAGCAGAGGCAGATACTCATGACCTCCCAACCCTACAGCCTCACGAGTGTATGAAGCACTTCAACACAGACACATTGATAAGCAAAGAAGCTCAACCGTACCAGCTTTACTCTCGAGAACAAACCTCATTGGTTCCTGCTGAAACTCAAACGTGCTTGAGCTTCTGTTTACCACAACCGACATCTGCAATATGTCTTAGTTTTACGATCTCTTAATTAACTTTTTGTTGTGTCAAAGTGGTAGTTGTGTGGACTGTTAATAGAGGGACAGAAATCTATCAGATTTCTTTAAAAATATCTTGATGACAGAATTAAAATATTTGATTGAATTAAGTATTTCTGGTTTTCTTACCATACCATCTTTCACTATTACGTACTAAGCCCCTAAAGGGACCTTTGCAAATATATACAGACTTTCACATGCTCACGAGAAACAATCGCGTGCTTACCCAGACAGCAAACTGACATTGAATCAACGTGGAAACGACGTCTCTCATGACATTGAAAAAACGTTGATTTTGCTCATCGAATTAACGTTGAACCAACGTCAGACGCGGCATTCTTCAAAGCTAAATGAAAATCGAAAATTGGTTTGCTTTCATAACGTTGAAACAACGCGTTGATTTCAAGTTGATTTTCCGTTAGATTTGAAAGAATGACGCGTCTGACGTTGGTTCAACGTTAATTCGATGAGCAAAACAATGTCAGATCAACGTTGTTTCGATGTCATATTTCCACGTTGATTCAATGTCAGTTTGCTATCTGGGTAAGTAAGGCTCCGTAAGTCCAGACTTAAAAGGCTCCGTAAGTACGCCTGTTTATTTTTGTTGCAAATAAAAATTATAAAAAATACAGTTTGACTGTATTAGAAGCTTATTTAAATGGTTGTTAAATGTGACATACTCTGAACACACAACATTGAAGAGTTAAGATGACTTTCTGAAGCTTCACTCGTCAGCTGACTAAAGTACCTTACCTGTCAGAACCATGAGGCCCTGGCTGATTTATTCTGCAGTGTGGATGTGTTGGCTCATGTCCCTCTGATGGAGTGGTGAGGGCTAAAGGAACATACAATAGCCCTATTCCATATGGCACATTTCATGTGAATTTGCGGGCTTGTGTACTTACAGTGGACCATATGTTGGAGCACTGGTCACTTCTACTGGGGTGAACCCCACAGCAGACTTCTATATAACAGTCAAAGCTGCATTATGTTACAAAAGTGTGGACTCAGAGCCCATCTCTTGCTCAGGCACCCCATTCCAGTATTTCGGTTTGTTTGTTTGTTTGTTTTAGGAACAAATATACCGTGTAGTTGATGTTACCCTGAGGGAGAAATCAGTTTCTTTAGATGCAAATATTTGTTCCAACGCTTCACACATACTGTGTCTGCCACGACCACAGGTTTCTGTGTTCACACTGCATGCGTGAGCAGCCCCAGCTGTGGCACCAAAACTAAAACTCTGCCTTTGAGCCGATTTTTGCAGATCAATGTGTGCAACTCAGCAGAAAACTCTGAAAATGCACTATATAGGCTTTTTGAAGCAACACACAATACAGAAAGTGAAGTTCATTGTTCAAACGTAGATATCTGCATGATCTACACCAAGTGACAAACATTTGACGCAAACTTTTCAGTGTATTCAAGATGATGCACTTTGGCCTTTGGTTCTGTATAGATTAATCATTATTTAGATGCAAATGTGGCTCTCATTTAAATTGAATTTCATGACAATCAAGTTGTAATTACACTAGAGCCAGACCGATATATCGACAGGCCGATATTATCGGCCGATATTAGGCATTTTCCAAATTATCGGTATCGGCAGTTATAATGGCCGATAAATTAATATTTTGTATTATATTTTGATAATGAATATTTTAACAAAATTTGTGACTATCATGCCCAGTTGCTGCTGTTAAATAAGCCGAGAATGAAGTGGAATTTGCTAGTAATAGTTACATAATGTTGTTACAGTGTAGTCCTTTTAACTTTTTACAATGTGACTGAAGTATTTCTTTAATAGCGCGTGACAGTTATAGCAATGAGACGTATCATCTCTCCTTGGCCTGTTATATTGAAAATGTATGTTTTACAATTTGTTGTGCGTTTCTGAAATAATAATAGAAAAAATATCGGCCGATATATCGGATTTTAAAACCAATAAATATTTGTATCGGTATCGGACTTCAAAATCCTTTATCGGTCGGGCTCTAAATTACACTGACTTGCTGTTGAAACCATAGAGCTGTACCCTGTGCTGTCCCAGACACATCTCTCAGAGCTCTGGACTGTTTTGTCAATAAAACGGACGCCCCTCCCACGATTGTTGATTGACAGCAGTGTTTCAGCACAGACCCGCCCTGAGCGAGCTGTCATCATAGTCCGCCATTGTTGATACGCTGGAGCAGAATGGTGTCTAAGCGATTGTGGTGTTCTGTTCTTGGGTGCAATAACAAACACAGTCATTTTGATGTTCCTCAATCCAAACCACTGAAGACACAGTGGCTGAGTTTCTGAGTTTGGCTGAGAATCAAATTAACTTGAAAATGGCATTATATGACCCCTTTAATATTCAATGGATCCTGATCAAAAAGAGGGTTATATATAAGTATATATATATATATGAAATCGAGATTATGCATAAGCACTTAATATGTGTGGATACCATCTGTACAGCTGATCAATATTCAGTGATTCTTGAAAGTTATTGCATATAAACAAGGCCTCTGTTGCTTCTTAACATCTGTCACAGTAACCTAATTCAACACTTTTGTGTTGTTGTCCTCCAGGTCCCTTCATGTGAATCTACCATGGACCACACGCTCTATCAGATGCTGGTTCTGGGTATGGCTGTGATGATGGCCCGAGCGTGTCCCAAGTACTGTATGTGCCAGAACCTGTCTGAGTCGCTCGGGACCCTGTGCCCGGCCAAAGGCCTGCTCTTTGTGCCACCTGATATAGACCGCAGCACCGTGGAGCTCCGTTTAGGGGGAAACTACATCCTTCGAATCACACAGGAGGACTTTGCCAACATGACCGACTTGGTGGACCTTACTCTCTCCCGCAACACGATCAGCTACATTCAGCCCTTTTCCTTTGGGGACCTGGAAACCCTCCGTTCTCTTCACATTGACAACAACCGTTTAGTGGAGTTGGGCCCTGATGACCTGCAAGGGCTGGTCAGCCTGCAGCATCTGATCCTCAATAACAACCAACTGGGTCGCATCTCTGAGAGGGCGTTTGAAGACCTTGCCGCATCCCTTGAGGATCTGGACTTGTCCTACAACAACCTTCAGGCTCTGCCGTGGCATTCAGTCCGGCAGATGATCAACCTGCACCAGCTGAGCCTGGACCATAACTTGTTGGACTACATTCCCGAGGGGACCTTTGTGGATCTGGAGAGGCTGGCCCGCTTGGACCTCACCTCTAACCGGCTCCAGAAGCTTCCGCCGGACCCCATCTTTGCCAGAGCACAGGATTCAGAGCTGATGACCACACCGTTCACCCCTCAGCTGTCCCTCAGCATAGGAGGGAACCCGCTTCACTGCAACTGCGAATTGCTTTGGTTTCGCCGTCTGGAGAGAGATGATGACCTGGAGACCTGTGCCTCGCCTCCCGTCTTGAAGGGCCGCTACTTCTGGAGTGTTCGGGAGGATGAGTTTTTGTGTGAGCAGCCACTGATTACTCAACACACCCACAGGATGCTTGTTCTGGAGGGGCAGACGGCTAGTCTACGGTGCGAAGCCATAGGAGATCCCACCCCAACTATCCATTGGGTGACCCCTGATGATCGATTACTGGGCAACTCTTCCCGCACTCTGGTGTACCGCAATGGGACCCTGCAGATCCCAATAACCACTTCAAAGGACTATGGGACCTTCACCTGCATTGCAGCCAACCTGGCTGGTGAATCGACCGCTTCAGTGGAGCTGTCAATTATTCAGCTACCCCACCTAAGCAATGGCACAGGCCAGGCATCACAACCCAAGTCCCGTCTGTCAGACATTACTGACAGCTCAAGGACTAGTAAAGGCTCTCCCAAGAGCTTGCCAGAGAATGCAGTGTCCGTGTCTGAGGTGACAGCTGTGTCTGCCTTAATCAAGTGGTCCGTCAGCAAGACCGCTCCCAAAGTGAAAATGTACCAGCTACAGTACAACTGCTCAGATGATGAGGTCCTCATATACAGGTACGAAGCAGAATGTCATCTTTCACGTTTCCTGGGCTATGACAGAAATACTGATCCCAGAGAAAAATATGTCGTGATTTAACAAACTGTGGGGATCCAAGTGTTTGTTGGTTTGTTGGGGGGGGAGTGGTGAGGCATATCAATAAATTATGACCTGGTATGTGAGCTGGGAAGGATTTGCATGCAGGTATGATTTATTGCATCCACGATTTATTAATGGTTCAATTCAAAATTTATATAACAAGCAAGTACATCAAACCGTGCTTTTGTCTTATTCCTAATCACTACGGTACCCCTCTTTTATTAAGTGTGGGTGGTGATGATGCATTGGATAAGACACATGCCTTTGGTGTGAGAGAGCCGAGTTCGAATCCACTGTGAGACACCAATGTGTCCCTGAGCAAGACACTTAATCCCTAGTTGCTCCAGAGGCGTGCAACCTCTGACATATATAGCAATTGTAACCAGTAAGCTGGAGTGTGGTGGGCGTTCTGGTGCAATATGGCTGCCGTCGCATCATCCAGGTGAAGCTGCACACTGGTGGTGGATGAGGAGATCCCCCTCTCTATGTAAACGCTTTGAGTGCAGAGAAAAGCGCTATATAAATGTAATTTATTATTATTATGTCAAGGTGTCATAACAAAGACATCTCAAACAATGTCATATTTGCATTAAAAATGTCGTACTGAGCGAATGACACTTAATGACAGTTGTCACAAACATGCTTAAAACTTCCTTCATATTCATAACATATTCATAACATAACACTCATTCATACACCGATGGCGGTGTCAGCCATGCACCTGGACTGTCTTGCTCATGGACACCTCGACACTTGGTCCGGTGGAACCGGGGATTGAACCACCAACCTTCCGGTTTGTAGACAACCTACATGAGCCACTGTTATTGTGTCAGTCATTTTGTCTACCGGTCATTAGATCTAGCATTCTACCCTCTTCAGATTAGACAGAGCGATTTGTTTGGTAAGATTACATTTGTTTGAATGAATTAGAGATTGTGTGTGTGTGTGTGTGTATAGTGTCTCTGTACTAATAGTGAAGCTGTGTGTTGACTTAAAACAGTAATGCTTCTCTCTGATTGCTGAGAAATGTTATGCTGTATGTGTTTGCATGTGCTTCAATGAAGCCATAGAGTAATGAAGTGAATGACGTTGTAGATTTACGGATGCGGGCCGCAATCCCATTGGCACATCCATACGCTGCATACATAGATGCTACACCACTGGATCCCAATATCTCTGGGATTGAACCATATAGGGCCTTATAAATGAAGAGACCAAAAGAAACATTTAGTAGGGGCTAGAATCTAAAATCATATTAAGATATTGAATACTTTTTGAGTTACAGGTATTAGGGTTAGCAAAACGAACTGTGATTGGTTGCTTTACATGTCAGTCAGACGGCCTCTGCGTGGTCCTTGGCCAATGAAAACTGTGACAGAGTCCAGACCTTCTGCTGTCAGTCTGAAGCTCTGGCTACGCGAGACTACAGCTTTACAAACTAAGGGGGAAAACAAGTGCCTTTAACACAAGTACTATTTATCAGCAAGGCAACTTAGATCAGCGGTTCAAGACATTAGATCTGTAAGCACACAACACGAAAACAATTATCTTTCAAATAAAACTATTGTCTAACATAATCACACGCACGCACACACACATTCATATGAGTTGCAGAAAGAAAGATAGTGAGAAAGGATGAGTTTTAAGAGTGAGATGGGGAAATCTCAAGTTTCTATGTGCACTTAAGACATGAGCTGAACGAACCATCAATCATTAATTTAAACTTTCCATCGTTTCTTAGGCAGGTTATTCAATTTACATTAATGCACCAGTTCAGTTAAGAGTCTGAAGGCTACTTGCTTGTCTTCGGTTTGCCTTGGATTCCCTTTTTGTCGGTGTTTCCCGGGTCCGTTGCTGGCGTCTCCTCGTGCCGGTATGGAAGTCTCTGAGCTGCCAGTCACGTGTCGTGTTGGCGGATGGATGAAAGTCTTTGAAGTTGGAAGCACGTTGCAGTCGAAACATTTAAACGAAACTTTGCAGCAACTTAACTTTGAACCAAGACTTTTACGAAAAAGAAAAAGAAAGGAAAGTGAGACGAGTTAGATGGCTTGAATGAGCTGTTTAAACGCTGATCTTGATTTGGTCGTTTTCTCTGCTCGTCTACATGTTGGTCTGTCCGGTTACTCGTCACGGCTTCTCTCATGACTTCTGTAACTCTCTAAGCCACCACTCCCAGATGATTCCTCAGATGACGACGACCCAGGCTTTGTTCGGAGTCTAAGATTTTTAACTCAAAAGTTTGTCCCTCCTCCAGGATGAGTTCTGGCCAATTAGACACTGGCTTCATTTAGGAGCTGGCTCTATTTTCTTCTTATCGTAAATTATGCGTTATCTGTGATCTCCAGCACTAGCAGAGAGAACAAGAGACCACAGTTTAGACGGTATAGATTTTTATAATCATACAAAACATTTTACTCTTCAATCAAGCCATCTTTTGAATTAAGAGCATATGATCTTACTGATAGGGAACACAATACTCTTTTCATTCACACATCTAATAGTTATAACAATTACATGATTTATATGTGATCTGCCTTGTGTTAATTTTACCAGCCATTTTTAAATTTAGTTTCAGTTTTAGTCCAGTTTCAGCATTGCTTGTTAGTTTTTATCACATTTAGTCGACATCATCCCATTTTTATTTAGTCTAGTTTTAGTCGACTATAAGTCGAGCATTTTAGTCTTTATTTTAGTCCAAGAAAACATAATTTTATTCGTTTAGTTTTAGTAAAAAAAAAAACTGTCAACATTTTAGTCTAGTTTTAGTCAGGACATCATTTTAACCTTTTACTTTTTTGTCAGCAGATAATATTTAACATTTCCTAAAATTATTTCACATTTCAACATTTTCTCTCATCTTTTTGATAAAAAACACAATTTTTAGGAACACATGCAGACATGGAAGATGTTCTGACAATATTTGCATATTTATTTTGAACATTGTTAAGGTTCAAAGACACAAACACAAATGCTTGCATTAAAACAAATAAAATACACCTGACAAAGGAAACAAATAAATAAAATAAAGTGTATTATAAACTTAACACAAGTGCTGGCTGTTTAAAGATAGTTCACATAGAATAATAAAATAAATAGATTTGAGGTCAATGTTGTGAAGAAAAAAAACCTGATACAACAAAAGTGCTTTCCTGCCAGCTGGTTCACATGGTAGGCTATATAAAGGTACAGTTTTTAAGGTGAAACAAGGCATAGCTTGCTAGAACGTATGAAATCTTTTTAACTAATTTTTTTAAAGCGTCTGTCTGCTTTAATCAAACTTGCAATTTAACTGAAACTATAGTTGCCCAGCCAGTATAACATATCTAAGTTAGCATAAATTTAACTTCACATACATATTCTATCAACAAGTGGCTACGGTCGCTACGTGCTAAGAAGCTAACGTAACATAGCCAGCCTGGATACTAAATGCTATGAAAGTTAGCCAACATTAGTTTATCATTGTAACAAAATGTGTCCATATATCACGTCTCTTCTTTCTCCCGAGCCCCGTGCAAAGCATGTTTTACTTTTAACCTGTCGCCGCCGCCTCACCGTGAATCCAGCTCCTGTCTGCTCCGTGTTGTGTGTAGGCTACTCTGACTGTGCCCGCCCGCTCCAGGTTTGAAAGTGGGTGTGTGGCGGAAGAGCTGACGAGGAGGAGGCGGAGACAGGATTTGACAAAACCATATCATATAATAATATGTAATTTTCATCTCGTCTTTGTTCGTGAACTAAAATGTCCATAGATTTTAGCCCAGTCTTTATTTACCGAACTGCATTTTCGTCTCCTCTTTATTAGTCTACGAAAATTTTTTCTGATTTACTCCCAGTTATTGTTTATTAGTGGGGATTTTAGTCTCGTCTCGTCTAGTTTTCGTTCGGTGAAAAATGTGCGTTGACAAAAATATTTTCGTTAACGAAATTAACACTAGATCTGCCACAAACATATATTGTAGAAACAACATAGAATTATGTAGTTGCATGATATTTGATTATAAGTCTATCAAGAATTGTTCTGGGATGAGTTTTATGGATTTTGATATGTAAAGTGTGTTAGTGTGTAAAGTTTATGGTTTAAGCCATTCCAATCCAGAGTTCCTGCTGAAATCTGTGCTCATCTCTCATGGGACCTTGAGAGGTAGTCTTTTAGTCGCAGGGGTCAGGTGACCTCTTGTTAGGGCCTCTCTGAACAGATTTGTCTTGCTAAATTATCTAAACTTGACAAGGCTCTTCCTTGCATGGCCCATCTCTTTAGGTCTGTGGTGTTGAATCCTGTTTGAATGACTCACTTGGAAGATTCAGTTGTGTTTGGGTCACCCTCAAACTCTACAATCCAGTAACCCTGTCTACTTTATTACTCTGTGTATTCACAAACTAAGGGGATCCGCAGACTCCGTGGGTGAGTAGTATGGCAGTCCTCTGCTCTTCGATGAGGTAATAGTACATTACAGCAGCTGCTAAAGTGCCCTTACAGAGAGGGAAAATCACATTACTGAAGCCATTCTCTCATGGATCTCTGAAGAAACCGCTCGGCTCATAGGCAGTAATTCTGTGTGGTGTCTACCAGAGAGTACATTATCCACTCATTTTTTCATAATGGCTCAGCGAGCTGCCTTGGAAAATGAGTACTGGGTAATAAACTCTCACCGTGACGAAGATGCAGTGTCAAAACCAGCTGCGGCAGATTCCTAGGACAAGCAATATTTCTATCTGCTGAAAACGCTGTGCTATACAACAGTCACGGCCTCTTAGAGGCGAGAGGGAGCGATCTCTCGGTTTGCATGATCTCTCACACTCTAACACTAACTAACTAACACACACACCTTGTGTTTGATGACTTCTGTGATGCTTCTCTTTTTTAATGCTTTTACTAGTGGAAATCATATATACTATCATCAAGACTTGACGCTAGTATGAG